TCTCGGTGTCCCACATCAAGAATGGAAGAGGAGTTCATGGGCTATAAAAGCAAAAACCTAGACCCTTACATAATATCGAGGCCTTTTCCCGGGTGGTGAAATCCCTAGCAGAACTCCCCAGTTAAGTGTACTTAGGCTGGAGTAGTTCTGAGATGGGTGACCCACTGGGAAGAACAAATCCGTGCGAGCGTGGCCCAAAGCAGACAATATCGACGACTTGTGAAGGGTTAGGGCGTTACAATAAGTTTTTCAAATGATTATATAATTTGTTAAATGCATCACCTACGAAGCTTTATTTGTTCTTCCCAATGAGTTACCCGTCCCAGAACTACTCCAGCCTAAGCACACTTAACTGAGGAGTTCTGCTAGAGATTTCACCACTCGAAAAAAGGCCTCGATACTACGTAAGGGTCCAGGTTTTTACTTTTATAGCCTAGGAACTCCCCATCCACAGGGCGTTACAAATAGTATCAGAGCCAACTCTCCAGAGTACCGAGTGTGGGCCCCTAGCGTCTCTCTGTGCATGTAGGCGGGTTTGTGAGTTGGCAGGCTACTGTACGAGAACGAACAACCCTAAGGGAGGTGGATTGTAAGGTCCCGGTGTCCCACATCAGGAATAAAGGGGAGTTCTTGGGCTATAAAAGTAAAAATCTGGGCCCTTATATAGCATCGAGGACTTTTCTTGGGTGGTGAAATCCCTAGCAGAACTCCCTAGTTAAGCGTGCTTAGGCTGGAGTAGTTCTCAGATTGGTGACCCACTGGAAAAAAACAAATCCGTGTAGGCGTGGCCCAAAGCGGACAATATTGATGACATGTGAAGGGTTAGGACGTTATAGATTGTATTAGAGCCGACTTCTCAGAGTACCGAGTGTGGGCCCTTAGCATCTCTCGGTGCATGTGTGCAGGCCTGTGAGCTGGCAGGCTACTACACAGGGACATGCAGCCCTAAGGGGGGTGGATTGTAAAGTCTCGGTGTCCCATATCAAGAGTGGAAGAGGAGTTCATGGGATATAAAAACAAAAACCTAGACCCTTACATAGGGGGTGTTTGGGAAGAAAAAAAAAATAGCCTAGTTTAGGCTAAAAATCACAAAAAGACAAAATAGGCTAAAATAGCTAATAAGACAAAATATCACATCAAACCCATAATCATTTCACTTTTTCTCTTACAAACATCACATTCAACCATAAAAAAATCCAATCATCTTCCCAAACACAAAAATTTTAGCCTACTAAAATAGCCAAAAACTAAAATAACCTACTAAAATAGCCACTTCCCAAACGAGTCCATAATATCGAGGCCTTTTTCCAGGTGGTGAAATCCCTAGCAGAACTCCCCAGTTAAGTGTACTTAGGCTGGAGTAGTTCTGAGATGAGTGACCCACTGGGAAGAACAAATCCGTGCGAGCATGGCCCAAAGCAGACAATATCGATGACTTGTGAAGGGTTAGGGCGTTACAATAAGTTTTTCAAATGATTATATAATTTGTTAAATGCATCACCTACGAAGCTTATGCTCACCCCAAAAACTAACAAATTTTCAAGAACTGAGGACGAGACACCTCTCAAGTGATGATGTCAATTGAGCTAGCAAGTTTTGTTAAGGTTTCTTAGGGCGTGGTGATGATAATTGTATTTTGAAGTTGATTTTTGTGTCTTAGCTTTGTGAGGAACCTTGTGATAAGGAAAAACCCCCTGGTGGATTTAATTTTTGATTACTTACTTCTTTTCTTTTGAACTATTTTAATGTTTTGAGGAATATAAAGGAACAACTATGTAAATTTCTTCTGAGAATAGTTCAAAGGGGAAAAAATCCATGAGTGTATTTCCATATTATTATATTTGTCTAGATTTTGTATATTGATAATGCTTGGAAGAACCATTTTGTGGAATGGGTCATTAGGGCGTTACAGCCGGGTTACATAGAAAAATCAAAAGAAGAAACAAAGAACAAAGAGTATCGTCACGGTCAAGCAAAAAGATCATCCAGCTCGGCATCAGTAAAAGTATTAACTTCACCGCTTGCCAAGTCGGCACTAGCATCATCTTCTTGTGTTAAGTCGGTGATGCCTTCTGTGATGATCAAGCTCGGCTCGATATGGCTGCACTCCTTTTCCCGAGCTGGCAAGGAACTCTGTCGACCGAGATCAGTAATGGGTGGAAGAGCATCGACCAACATCAGAGTATTTTCCTCCTGCTCTTGTAGAAATTTTTGTTGAATGGCGTTGGCATAAGCCATCATGTAGCTTAGTATAAAGTGTGGAGTAGGATTCAAAAATATCTCCGAGTCTGGCACTTGACCAAGCTTCTCCAGTGCCGCCTTCTAGCCGCACTTGAAGAAGATATCATTGGCCGCCTCGCACTATTGGACATAGGTCTCTTCGCCCTCCCTATAACCGTAGTCATCAGCATCCTCCATCTTCTTCTGCAGTGTTTTTATCTCGGCATCCTTCTTTTTCTCAAGCTTGGCGAGCTCCCACAGATATCGGTCTTTCTTCTCAGCCAAGGCTTTTTGCTTATCTTCTTCGACTGCACTGACCAGTTGGGCTAGCTTTTCTTTCTCTGCATTTAGCTCGGCTAGCGTCGCCTTTAGAGCCTTCAGCTCGGTGTCTTTGGCCTAACCGTCAACAATGGATGCCTGAGCTGTTTTCCTTAGCTCTAGCACACGCTGATGGGCAACGTGGCTCTTCTGCACAGCCTATAATTCGATCAAGAAGTAATTAGAGTAATTGAGCAAAAAGTTAAAAGAAAAGTGGAAGTGGAAATGCAAAGTAGTGAACAACCAAAACTATAGACATGGCAGCCGACCGAATTGATTTGAGCTCGGTCAGCTGTTCGTGCCATTTCATATCGGCCGGCAGGCACAGGTTTTTTGATAAATTGAAGGCCAACATATGGTCCTTCTTAGCGGCCATTGAATCAGTGGTGGTCACAGAGCGGCCTTTGAAGGTCATAGCTGGTGCCCACACCGAGGAAAAAGAGGAGACAGCATGTGTCATGACCCAAACCCGCCCCTATAGGTTTGGCACCGTAACCGGCCAATAATTCGTGGATTACCAAAGGCCTTTGAATAGATTAGCAAATAATAAGGGGCTGAGGAAGCAATAATACAAAATAGACAAGGTCTAATGAGCTGTGATAACGTACGTGGAACAGAACATTTCAAAACTTATATATATACATAAGCATGCCAGTCAAGGACACCAATATATACAAAGTATTACATCCCAATACCTGTCCTTACAAAACACATACAGAGACTAGCATGAATACAAAAACAGCCATAACATTAGACTTCGACCGGAACCTCCTCGGGAGGCACAACAGTTGGCTGACAAAACAGAACAGAAGGCCGTCAACTCTGGCCCTGGTCACATGCCGGCTCACCTACATACATAATATAAACTGTGAGCGAAAGCCCAGTGAATAACAAGAGAGTAAAGGGTTTCAATGAATGAGTTCGCACAGATTCAGAAATCATAATTCAGTTCATATCAAAATCATAGTTTGTCCAGATCATATACAGACAGAAATCATAAGTCATGATTAACTTTACGTGATACATCCATTAGCATAATCAGAACAGAACAGAACGTATACACGTGAGGTTACGAATAACCAGTTCCATAAAGGAACCTCCGGATCCGGGTAACAGAACAGAACAGAAGCTGAGCCCCCGTGACAGGGCCTCCAGTACGGGTAACAGAGTGCAGACATAAATAAGTTCCGTAAAGGAACCTCCGATACCGGGTAACAGCTAACAGATATCACATGATGCTAAGGATGTCACGAATACATACCAGAAATTGAACAATCATTCATTGTACAGAATATATCATTTCGAAAAATAGATCTTGTTTTATCACACAGAAAGTAGATACAGTTTGAACATAACTTTACTAAATTATTACTCACAGTTGACCTTGAAACAGACAGACGGAGTAGATTGATCACAAGACACACTACAACAAGTTGGGTCTTGAATGACGAAATTTTTTTATCTCCAAAGAGCTAATTTCGTCACTATAGATATTTGTGAGGAAATATTTTCGTCACCGATTTCGTCATTGAATGTTTGTCACTAAAAACCACCGTGACGAAAAATAATTTCGTCACCAATAAAATTACTTCAGTGATGAAATTTTTTGTCACCAATAAAACAACATTTTGTCACCAAAAATTCTCATTTTCGTCACCAAATAGTTATTCAGTACCATATTTATGACTTTAGTTAACGAATAAATTTGTCACGTATATTGATCATTGATGAGGAAATAATTTCGTCACAATAAAATGTAAAGGTGACGAAATTTTTCGTCTTCAAAAGTCATAATTTTTTGTCACCAATAAAAGAACATTTTGTCGCCAAAATTTCTCATTTTCGTCACCAAATAGTTGTTCAGTATCATATTTATAACTTTAGTTGACGAATAAATTTGTCACGCATGTCAATCATTAATGAGAAAATAATTTCGTCACAATAAGATGTAAAGGTGACGAAATTTTTCGTCTTCATTTCGTCACAAATATATATATATACGTGACGAAATTTTTAGTCACCAAACAACAAAATAAATAAAAACTTTCATATATAAACTACAGTAAATTTTTTCACAACAAAAGTTTATTAGTGACGAAAAATCACTTTCTCATAATAACAAGTACAAATGGCGAAAAAATTCGTCACTAAACTTGTTCCGTATTTTATATTCAATTTAAATTATTATTTCACAAATATCTCTGCTCATATCCCAATAGCCTTTTAATTGTACTAAGAAATCCACTAGCTATTATACACCACTCCACACAAAAATTCACTAAACCATTATATTATAAATCAAAATGTATCCATCAAACAACTTTAATAATAATCCATTAAGTATCACAAAAAAACCATCAAAGCAAATCCCAAAATGAACTAACGTGGAGTCCATAAAAAAAAATCAACACTTAATCTTGATTTGCAACTACAACTAAGCATCAGTTTAGGAAAAAAAATTCAACAGTTGATCTTCATTTGCAAGTATGCTTCCGAACGTCATCAAAATCAATCTGCAAAGAAAATAAACAAGGCAAACATTAATATATTATCAATTACATCTAAACTCATATATGAATAATTTTATTTTATAAACCAATTTAGTAGAAACACATATAACAATTCGAAACTTCAAAGAGTTGAGGTGATCCTTGATGATAAAGCAACACGGATAACATAAGATGACAAAAGATCGCAAGAATACCGTATATCACTATATCACTAATGGCAGAATATATATAATAGCTCCAAAATATAACGTAGCATTGAGGTACATTTGATTCACGACAATGGACCGATGACTTCTTCAATGAGGTAAATCTGATTGGTGGAATTCAACACAAGAAAGAGTTGAGGTGATCCTTGATGATAAAGCAACACGGATAACATAAGATGACAAAAGATCGCAAGAATACCGTATATCACTATCACTAATGGCAGAATATATATAATAGCTCCAAAATATAACGTAGCATTGAGGTACATTTGATTCACGACAATGAACCGATGACTTCTTCAATGAGGTAAATTTGATTGGTGGAATTCAACACAAGAACCTTGTAAGACAACACAAGAACCTTGTAAGACTTTTGGGTTGTACCATTGAAGCCCCTCAATGCCTTCTTATTTATGACAATTTGCATCCATGTATAAAGTAAAACAAACCCCTTTGTCCTAGTCATTACAACAAAGTTGAAAATGATGGATGCATTTCAACTAAAACTTATGTGAAATATGAAAAACAAACCTCATGTTTACAGTGTATGCATTTTCAACAAAAAGTTGGGATTAGAGAACCCCAAAGAAAGGATTACTACTTGTGTTGTTGGACATGGGTATTACTTGCAGGAATAGATGCGGAGGAAGGAGATGGAGAGGTATGAAAATCTAAGTTCTTGAATTCTTTGACCATATTTTGCATCTCTCCAAGAAATTTTTGGCCTGAAAAATAAAAACACAAACTACTTTAGAAATCGCTAGAAGCATATGAATAAACTAACTATTTGTAGAGATTGTTCTAGTCTTATAAAAGGTAAAGTCGGACATTTTCTCATCACACTGACTTTTCATCTCCTGCATCAATAGAAAAGGAATAACCATTTTGATTGTTACTAGTATAAATGTTTGGATTACCATATAGATATGACACATGCATAGAATCAACAAATGTAAAATGAAAATCTTCAGTGCATGGCCAGATATTTTAAAGTCATAAAACCAAAATAAAAGCCAACTATTATTTAAATATAAAAAGAAAAAAGAAAAATATATCACATGGTATTAGAAACGATATAAGCCCAAGCAATGCTTGTGTGTAAGTCTGAGCCTTAAGGAATGCTTACAGAGGTGTGAAGTGATTCGATCATCTGCCCATGTTCTTCAGCTCTCGCTAGTAAAGTGATCTTGACAAGAGAAAAAGAAGGGGAGGGGATGTTAGGTAAAAATATGAACCCTGTTGTGATGATATCAATATGTTTCAAATCTCGAAGGAGTAAACAAGGCATAACTTTTCTTTTCTTTTTCTTTTTTTTTTTTATTAGTACAACTAAACATGCATAACTATTATTGAGATAAGATAGCAGAAATGTCGACAACGCATTTTTATCCTTTTTGCAGGCAATTTGCGCGTGTGACGAGGAATAAATCTACACATTAGAGAGACGATCATACTTTTCAACAAGATCCGAATCCTCTCAATTAAAGAGACAAGACAAACTCCCTGTATCACCATTTTTTAGTTTCTCCATCACATGCATAGACAATAAACCAGCAGCAACCTGCAAAAAAAAAAAAAAAATTAATGATAATAACAGAATTTATTATTAGAAAAACTTGTTAGTAGTTAATCTAAATTCATTTAACTTAAAAATTTAGACAATAGTGAAAAAATAAAACTTGTGTGATCATAGGATAGGTGATTTTTATAGTTCAACACATCATAACTACAAAAGAATACTGTCTTTGGCATAGAAGTATCTAGAAAAGTAGTTTGCTATAAAGAAATTACACCTGAAGCTCTAATCCGTTTAATCCATAAGATACCTATAACCATTCAATCTTCTGCTTCTTCTGCTGCTTTTTCCTTTTTCCTTTTTTATTTTTTATTTTTCTTTTTCAAACATGCATCACAGAAAGGGGAAGAAAAAGAAAAATGCAAAGAAAAGAAAGATCAGTTTTTACCTGCAAAAACCACATCTTCTATTTTTAGCTTTTATTCTAATTCCCCAACTTCAAGAAAAAGAAAGAAAGTCCTTTAGCAAAGATAGCTTAAAAAAATTTATATTGGAAAATGGAAAAGATCGAATATTCAACTATCTGAGCATGTATGAAAGTTTTGGCTCAAATAGAAGATAGTAACTAACAGAAGTAGAAATGAAACTAAAAGAATAAATGCAGAATTGAGCAAAGTCCACTAAAAGCAGATATATGACAAGCAATTGTGACTCGGGAAAACTTTTCTTCTGCAAAAATGTAGTTATCACATAAGCCCAAAAGCATGTGTCGAATTGCACTAACCTAGTATGAGCTTCTTGTTTCCCTGTACAATATCGTTTCCTGCTACATTCACAAGGGAGACGTTCAATTCCTTTCCAATCTGAATAACTTGGTTGCAATTCTCAACTTTTCTAAAAGGCATCTTGATGAGAGGTTTCGTTGCTTGCTTCCAGTTACTGATCTTGGGTAAACTTTGTCAAGAACTTCCAATATAACCCATCTGCATGTAAAAGGGATAAAAATCAAACAAAATTATCAGGCACTCAAAAATCGGGCATGGAAATTGTAACCTCACCCTGTTCTGACATCCTCACACAGATTATTGACATATGAATCGATTCCAACACAGTTGATCCACAGTCAGAAGCATCTCTCTTCCCTAGAAGTTTGAGCATCATCCGTCATCATCTCAGCAAAAGACATATTTTGGTGTCCATGGATAAGCCATTCCTACATTAAGAAATTCACAAACTAATTACAAAGAAATCCATGGTGATACTTCTAAAAAAAAAAATCATGAAACAGAAAGCAAATAAAGAATACAGCACCAAAATCCAGTTTCGGTTAGTAGTTCTTCATTAAAAACTCTTTCATTCTCTATAGAAACCTCTCGCATTATGCTAAAGAATGGAGTTGCTGCTATTAAATAAGCCATGGTGGTGAACTGATCATTCAAGGAAAATAGCATGGAAACAAATTATATAGGATCTCAACTATCCACCACCACCCTATATATATCTCAAAAGTGACAAAGCCACTTTTTTTTTTCTTTGACTGAACATTTTTTGCCTGACAATGGTTCAAATTAATCCAAATTGCAAAAAATAAATTTAACCATTAAATTGTGCAAAAATTCATGAATCATGATGCATGAAGTAGTAAAGAACAGTCCATAATAAAAGAGCCAAAATATAAATGTTGACCATGTTTGTGGTTTGATTTTTCCCTCCTTTAGAGGTGAAAGGGGTACCTCCCTAACTTTGCTCCACTACCATATGTAGGACAACAATATTCTGGGTAGTATCATCAAAAAGTACATACAAATCCATTTACCTATAATTATGTATTCTGATAAACAAACTAGTACTACTATATTTTAAACAAGAGTGCTTCATCATAAAGAAACTAGTGAACTTTTTCTTACCTTCAGATCAGATGACAAATTTGAAACCTATTACTTGTATCCTGCTTTCTTCAATTGGAAATCCATCCATATGAGTAAAACCTTTTCTAGGGGTAAACCCATGAGTTTCTCAACATCCTGCAAATTTCATTTATGCATTTGGTATAATAACAAAATGTAAAACATAACACTCTATTTTTCATTAAAGTAACAATGAAAGGTAATAAACAATCAACATCTTGTGACCTTGCTGTCATCCACCAATTCCAGAAGTTGAGGAGTTTTTTTTAGATTGAGATCAGCTAACAGTTGAATGTGATGTTTCCACCAAATGAAAATACAAAAAGATTGAGAACTTTGGTGATTAAGATCTAAATATCTCTAGAACATATCCATTGAACAAAGTAAAGATACCTTAATCATTTGAGAAATCAACCCCATTACTAGATGCGACTACAATAAGCAAACAAACAAACAAAATGAAGAGACTACAACAATTTTCATATCAGCAACAAAAAATATTCAAGAACATTTCCTTTTTTCAAAATTTTGTTACAATTCGTACCTAAATGTTTGTTCTAAACTTCAGTTTGAACTCTCTTTGTTCGGAAATTTTGCTTTGTTGGGGAATTTTGCTAACTTACTGATATACATTTCGATATCATACTGATATTCAGCATTCATGGGTATAGTTTCAAAGTGATCAATTCCTAGCCATGTTGGGTTCTGATGCCAGTGACAAGTCAAGGGATCAAATATGCAATGGTTTGATTCGTTTACAAAAAAAAAAAAAAAAAAAAAATCTGATATCTTGAAAGCCTCTGCATCAACAAAAAAAAAAAACCCTAAATGTAGATCAAAAATCATAACCCATTTACTCGTTTCCCATAAATCAAACCCATACAACATCAAAACACAAAAACAAACAAATCCTAGAGCTAGAGTCAAATCGGGAAATAGAGAAAAAGAGAGAGACGAAGAGAGACAGAGAGAGAGAGAGAAACAGAAAAACCTGATTCAAAATTAATGGGCCTGAGACGATGTACCAATTGTGGCAATGAGATGATAAGCGACGGTGGCCGATGGTTAGTCGATGAGAGGAGACCGATGGGCAGTCGACGAGAGAGAGAGCAAGAGACTAGCGTTGATTGGTATTTCCTCTGTGTATGTATCATTCGATACATACACAGAAATAAAAAAAAATAAAAAAATAAAATAAAATTAAACATAAAATAAAATTAGGCAGTAAATATTCTCCTCAAAAACTTTTGATCATACTTATTTAGAAGTTGTAATTAAAAAAATTATATAATCACACTTATTTAGAAGGTGAGATTAAAAATATATATATAATCACAATTAAATGAAAAGTGATATAAAAAATATATATTATTACACTCGACCAAATTAAGTTTGATTAAAATATCAATCTAATTTTTTTTTTATCACACTTTTAATAAAAGTGAGATATTTCATTTGTCAAAGTGTGATCTTTAACTGTTTTTGTAGTAGTGACTCAACCCTTGTGTTTTTTTTTTAGAGGGAGAGACAGATAGAGATACAGATTGATACAAAGACTGATCCCAAAAAAAAAGGAGGGAAAAATAAACTAATCAAAAAAAAAAAGGGGGGAGGGAAAAATAATAGACTATTTTTTTTTCATTATTACTTAATATGTCAAAATTCTTCTTTCAAAATTAGTGACAAAACAATTTTCTCACTAAAAGGCCTAAAAATATTAAAAAATATTAGTGACGAAAATATATATCTCACCAAATGGTTTTAAAATATTTAAAATCAAATTTTTCAAAAAAAAAAAATTTATTGGTGACGCGAATATATTCTTCATTATTAATTTTTTAATTGTTGAAAAAAAAATCTCACCAAAAGTTTCTAAATTTTGGCACCATCAAAAAAAATTAGTGGGAAAAATTTAGGTGACGAAACTTATTTTTTCTCACCTAAAAGTAAGTATTTATTGACCTCTTATTTATAGTCGTCCTCGATGTTGATGGTTGGGCCTACCTTTCGTCCAATGAACAATCGCTCATTCGGCTATATCTTCATATTCGGCCCAATCTACAACTGATACGGAGGCCGATCTCGTTGTTCAGCCTCTATCATCTAATATTCTCAAAATTTGTTTTTGGCTATCCTACGTAATAGATTATTCGGCCTTCACAATTGCCCCCCAAACATCCTACTAACATCAGTTAGATGCCATGTTTGGTTTTGGACTTAGAGGATCAAAAAAAATACGGCGGTTTCCCTTTTTCCAATGCAAGCGTCAGAACGCCCACTCTTTTTAGGCATGATTACAATTTTCCGCCCCTTCGTACGCTTTATTCATTTAATATGACTTGAAACCTTGTTGTCTTTTCGTTTGTATGTTTTTTCGAATGCACAAGGCTTTTCGTTAGCTGTCAATTCACCTTCCTCGCTTCACGCCCTCAATTTTCCACCAAAATTGGTGACAATATTATTTCCTCACTAAAAGATATCAAAAATATTAAAACGTTTTGGTGACGAAAATATATTCCTCACAAATAATTTTATAATTAGTGACAAATTTTTTTCTCACCAAAAGTCCCAAAATTTTGGCGCCACCAAAAAAAAGTAGCGGGAAAATTTTTGGTGACGAAACTTAATTTTTCCTCACTTAAAATGAAGTATTTATTGACGAAAATAAATTTTGTCACCTATCATTTTCATTTTTTTATTATATGTGACAAAATTTATAAATTCCTCACGAATTATTTTTATTTAGTGAGGAATCTTATTTTCTTCACTAGTTTTCGTCACCATAGGTTACTTTTGTTGTAGTGACACGCAGCACGTGACCTACATAACACATAATGGACACACACTTGAAACACACATTCTAATTGCACAAAACTTATGTCGTTGATTCTTAGTGTGTTTCTAACCGTAAATCCTCACTATAGAGTCTTAAACATGGCCTAGGAATGCCTAGGCTGGAATGAGGATGCAAAGATGCCTTGGAAAACATTTCTCAAATTTTGCTGAAGATAAGGTCCACGCTCGAGCGTGGCTTTCCCCGCTCGAGCGTGGACTTCCCCGCTCCGCAAACTTATGAAAAGTGCTGGATGCATGCAATTCACGCTCGACGGGTGCTCGACCCCCGCTCAAGCGTGTGACACAGACCCTCACTCGAGCGTGGCTTCCCCCGCTCGAGCGGACTGCAAGACACACAAACTTCTGGGTATACGCATTTCACGCTCGAGCGTGACTCTCGCTGCTCGAGCGGAAGTGCATGTACTCAGGCTTCACGCTCGAGCGTGAAAGTCCCCGCTCGGGCGTGGGTCAAAATTCTAGAAAATCCAGATTGACCTCCAAGCATGAAACTCGACCTTCAACCCTCCAAAACTCATTTTTCTGGGCCAAATCTTTGGAAAACACTTAGTAACCCGTAAAACAACATGTTTAAAGCTTCAATTCAAGAAATCATGGCCCAAGAGTAAACCAATTGTACAAAACTCAACTTGAAACTTGAAATTAATTTCATGCACATGACTTGTATGCTAATCCTTGAACTCAAGTCCTCCAAAACATGACCAAAAGCAATGATCAACCCAAAAACAAGAACAACTATGATAATATGACATGGAACATGAAGAATTTCTAAACCAAAACTTGGATTATGACATGCATGCAAGGATTCTTTAGAGAGACAACCCCAAATGCCATGAATTACACATGCATGTATGCATTAAGCTTTAATTCAACAATCTAAAACCAATTCTAAATTTTAAAATTCTAATCTTTCAAGAACCATGCAAAAGCTAACTTAATTCACAATTAGAAGAATGAATTCCTTACCTAGGTTCCTCAATTACAAGAATAGAAGCTCAAATACAAAATTAACCTTCAATTTCTTCAAGTCTCCAAGTTAAGTTTGATGAACTCAAGTCTATCGTCCTACTCTCTCTCTCTCAATCGGTTTTGTGTTCAAAAATGGCTGAGGAAATGTTGCATGATCAAGTGTAATAAGGCTTCAACATAGTCTTAGGTAGTGGCCCACTAAGTGGCAAAATGGTAGATAAGTCCAACTAATGTAATTTAAATTTAATTAACCATACCCAATCAAATTTAAATTAAATCTACCATAAAGTCACATAAATTCTAATTAACACATAACACTAATCAATTTCGAAATCGGTCCGCCATAAGGCCTTCAATTCACAGTTTAAACATAAAACACGAACAGATCATTTTATGGTAAACAAAATAAAAACACTAAGATAATGCAATACATATGCAATTTAATTTCCGGGTTCCTTCTAAATTACTGTTAGGCATAATTAATCATGCTTAGCAATTAATCGGAGGTCGGGGTTATTACAGTCTTCCTCCCTTAAAAGAGTTTGGTCCTCCAAACTCGAATTAGCTTCAGTGGGAATCAACATTGGGTCAAATGGGAACAATTCCGGATATCTCTTCATCATGTCCTCCTCGGTTTCCCAAGTCACGTAGGTTCCTCCGTGGTTTTGCCAATCAACTTTTACCAATGGTATTTCTTTATTTCTCAACTTTTTGATCCGGGGATTCACAATCTGGATAGGTCTTTCCTCATAAGTGTAGTCATCTTTCAAAAGCACATGTGTCGGTTCAATGACGTGGAGTGGATCCCTCAGATATTCTCGTAGCATCGATACACGAAAGACGTTATGCATATGTTCCATTACTGGAGGTAAGGCTACCCGATACGATACCAGATTGATCTTTTCGAGGACTTCATAAGGTCCAACATATCTTGGCGCCAACTTGCCCTTAACACCAAACCGAGTTTGACCCTTCATCGGGGTCACCTTTATGAACACATGGTCCTCAACTTCATATTCCCTATCTCATCTTCGAACATCAGCATAGCTCTTCTGCCGACTCTGTACAGTTTTCAGACGCTGCTGTATCAGTTTCACTTTCTCGGTTGTTTCTTGCACAAGTTCCGGTCCCAACAAAGGTCTATCACCTACTTCAGCCCAACATATCGGAGAACGACATTTTCTTCCATACAAAGCTTCGTAAGGAGCCATTCCAATGCTTGAATGGTAACTGTTGTTGTACACAAATTCAGCTAATGACAAGTAGGTCTCCCAATTCCCTTGGAAGTCTAACACACACATTCTGAGCATATCCTCCAGAGTTTGGTTTGTTGATTCAGTTTGGCCATCTGTCTGTGGGTGAGAGGCACTACTCAGCCTCAGTTCAGTCCCCAAAGCCTGTTGCAAACTCTGCCAAAATCTCGATACAAACTTTGAGTCCCTATCAGACACAATAGATACTGGCACTCCATGCAATCTCATAATTTCAGTCATATAGATGTTGGCTAATTTATCAGCGTTATAAATAGTTTTAACAGGAAGAAAATGGGCAGACTTAGTTAAACGGTCAACTATAACCCAGATAGAGTCCATACCTCAAGAAGAACAAGGCAATCCCACAATGAAGTCCATGGTAATGTCCTCTCATCTCCATTCCGGTATTGGGAATGGTTGTAATAAACCAGCGGGTCGTTGGTGTTCAGCTTTGACCTGTTGGCACTGTAGACATCTAGCCACGAAATCGGCAATACTCTTTTTCATTCCAGGCCACCAAAAGTTCTGTTTCAAATTATGATACATCTTCGTGTTCCCCGGATGCATAGCAAATTTACTACTGTGAGCTTCGTTCATAACACGTTTCATTAAATCATAACAATCGGGCACACAGAGTCGACTCTGAAATTTCAGCACATCATTCTCAAACACAAATTCTGGCCTCGGCTTTGAATCAAATTCCTCCGTGATCTTTTTCAAGTATTCATCCTCGCACTGTTTCTGTTTGATCTCGTCAAGAATTGTAGGTTGGGCGGCAATAGCAGTTAATAGCCCATCTTGTTCTAGGTCAGTTAACAATTCTTTTCGGTTGGATAACAAACATGACAAATTCGCATTGGATTTTTGACTCAAGGCATCTGTTACAGTATTAGCCTTTCATGGATGATACAAGATCTGCAAATCATAATCCTTGATTAACTCTAACCATCGCCTCTACCTCATATTCAATTCCTTTTGGTTGAAGAAATATTTCAGGCTTTTATGATCGGTATACACCTCACAAGTTATCCCATACAAATAGTGACGCCATATTTTTAAAGCAAACACCACAGCCGCTAATTCAAGATCATGTGTTGGGTAATTCTTTTCATGAGGTCGAAGTTGTCTAGAAGCATAGGCAATCACCCTTCTGTTTTGCATTAGTACACATCCTAAGCCTTTATAGGAAGCATCACTGTACACTTGAAACCCATCAGTACCATTAGGCAAGGTTAAGATTGGTGCAGTCACTAACCTGGTTTTCAACTCTTGGAAAGCTGCCTCTCTTTGTTCATTCCAGTCAAATGGCACATTTTTCTGAGTTAACTGAGTCAATGGCATGGCAAGCTTGGAAAAGTCTTTCACAAACCTCCGGTAGTAACCTGCAAGTCCCAAAAAGCTTCGGACTTCTGTCACATTTGTCGGTCTAGGCCAATCCACAACAGCTTCAATTTTTTGAGGGTCAACAGAAACTCCATCTTTGTTGATTACATGTCCCAAGAATGCCACACTGTCAAGCCAGAATTCACACTTGGACAATTTAGCATTCAATTTCTTTTCTCTCAAAACATGCAAGGTGGTTCTCAGATGGTTCTCATGTTCTTCCCTGTCTTTAGAATAGATCAAAATGTCATCAATAAATACAACAATGAAGTCATCCAGATATGATTTAAATACCCTATTCATAAGATCCATGAAAGCTGCAGGTGCATTGGTCATCCCAAACGGCATTACTAAAAATTCATAATGTCCATATCTAGTTCGAAATGTGGTTTTCTCTATCTCCTCAACTCTAACCTTTAATTGATGATACCCAGACCTAAGGTCAATTTTGGAAAACACTTGGGCACCCTGATGTTGATCAAACAAGTCATCTATTCAGGGCAGAGGGTATTTATTCTTTATAGTCACTTTGTTCAGTTCTCGGTAGTCTATACACATTCTCAAAGACCATCCTTCTTTTTGACAAACAAAACTGGAGCACCCCAAGGTGCAATACTCGGACTGATAAATTTCTTATCTAACAGTTCCTGAAGTTAGGTTTTCAATTCTATCAATTCAGAGGTAGACATTCTATTGGGAGTCTTGGAAATAGGTTGTGTCCCCGGAAACACCTCAACAGTGAATTCAATTTCTCTATCTACTAAGTCCCCAGGTAAGTCAGTTGGAAACACATCAAGAAATTCACAAGCAACAGAGATTGTTTCCACAGTAGTACTGTCAGATGGTGCAGTCAATATACAACACAGATAACCCCTATATCCCTTCCTAAGGAGTTTTACAGCTTTCACAGCCGAAATCAAATATGGGGGAGGAACTACCCCATTCCCAATGAAAGTAAATTCAGGCATACCTGGTGGTCTAAACACAACAGTTTTATTTGCGTAGTCAATGGTAGCACAGTATTTAGTCAACCAATCCATCCCCAAAATACAATCAAAATGATTAATGTCCAAGGGTAATAAGTCCGCATACAACATCATATCGCCAATCATAACATCACATGCTGGATAAATATGAGTGCACACCGTAGAATCCCCAGATAGCGTAGACACAGATAACACATAGGTCATAAGTTCTAGTGGTCTAGTCAATTTTCGAGAAAAAGCATGCGATACAAAGGAATGTGTAGAACCAGAATCTATCAGTACACATGCATTATGAGAACATATAGAGAGTGTACCTGACACCACAGTATAGGTGTTCGGTATGTCACCGGGCACTAAGGCAAACACTCGGCCTTGTCTCAGAGGTTCTTTCCCAGTATTGGCTTTGGCATTGGTTTTGGCCACAGAAGCGGATCCCGCTGAACTTGCTGCAGGACGGCTAGTAGTTTCAGACCTGAGCGGGCAATCTTTCACTACATGACCTGGCTGGCCACACCGGAAACAAGCACCGGACGCTCGGTAGCGCACACCCCTGTGCCTTTTACCACAATCAGAACAGACCGGAATAAACCCACTACTCTGACTCGAGTTGTTTGAAGTCCCTGTGTTTTGCTTCTTACTACAAAAGGACCGGCTCTTTTTAAAACCAAACCCGGATCTTTTTCCTCTCCACTCAGTTGTCGTAGTTGTTGGGGCTTTACCTTGTTTCATGGCGGCTATGGTAGCTTTCGCCATTAAGGATCTGTCCAAGACTTCCACATAAGTAGGTAATTTCAACATGCCCACCCGATTGAACACCTCCAAATCCAATCCACCTTCAAATTTTCGTACTTTCTTGTAATCAATATCCACCATGTGTGGAGCAAACCGTGCCAGTTCGGTGAATTTAGCTTCATACTTTGCTACAGACATTCTTTCCTGTTTGAGTTCCTGAAACTCGGACACCTTTCGATCCCTAAAGCATTGGGGAAAGTATTTATCATAAAAGATTGCATTAAACTGTGCCCACGTCATATTCCCATTGCCACTTCGAATTAATACCCACCACCTGCGGGCTTCGTCCTTCAGAGTGTAGGTGGCTAGGAGGACTTTTTGAGTTTCAGAACAAGGAAATACTTCATATAACTTTTCCCTCTCAAGCAACCACGTCTCAGCTTTCAGAGGTTCAATTCCACCATAGAACGTTGGCGGTTTCATTTTCATAAACTTCTGTGTCAGATTGATGATGTCAGTATTATCTGCCTCGGCTTGTGCCGGTGGAGGCGAAGGGGGCAAAGGTTGTTGTCTCTGTTGTTGTGTCCAGGCTTCAATCAATGCTGCTCAACGGGTGCTCGACCCCCGCTCAAGCGTGTGACACACACCCTCGCTCGAGCGTGGCTTCCCCCGCTCGAGCGGACTGCAAGACACACAAACTTCTGGGTATACGCATTTCACGCTCGAGCGTGACTCTCGCCGCTCGAGCGGAAGTGCATGTACTCAGGCTTCACACTCGAGCGTGAAAGTCCCCGCTCGAGCGTGGGTCAAAATTCTGGAAAATCCAGATTGACCTCCAAGCATGAAACTCGACCTTCAATCCTCCAAAACTCATTTTTCTGGGCCACATCTTTGGAAAACACTTAGTAACCCATAAAACAACATGCTTAAAGCTTCAATTCAAGAAATCATGGCCCAAGAGTAAACCAATTGTACAAAACTCAACTTGAAACTTGAAATTAATTTCATACACATGACACTTTAAGAAATCATGGCCCAAGAGTAAACCAATTGTACAAAACTCAACTTGAAACTTGAAATTAATTTCATGCACATGACTTGTATGCAAATCCTTGAACTCAAGTCCTCCAAAACATGACCAAAAGCAATGATCAACCCAAAAACAAGAACAACTATGATAATATGACATGGAACATGAAGAATTTCTAAACCAAAACTTGGATTATGACATGCATGCAAGGATTCTTTAGAGAGACAACCCCAAATGCCATGAATTACACATGCATGTATGCATTAAGCTTTAATTCAACAATCTAAAACCAATTCTAAATTTTAAAACTCTAATCTTTCAAGAACCATGCAAAAGCTAACTTAATTCACAATTAGAAGAATGAATTCCTTACCTAGGTTCCTCAATTACAAGAATGGAAGCTCAAATACAAAATCAACCTTCAATTTCTCCAAGTCTCCAAGTTAAGTTTGATGAACTCAAGTCTATCGTCCTACTCTCTCTCTCTCAATCGGTTTTGTCTTCAAAAATGGCTGAGGAAATGTTGTATGATCAAGTGTAATAAGGCTTCAACATAGTCTTAGGTAGTGGCCCACTAAGTGGCAAAATAGTAGATAAGTCCAACTAATATAATTTAAATCTAATTAACCATACCCAATCAAATTTAAATTAAATCTACCATAAAATTGCATAAATTCTAATTGACACATAACACTAATCAATTTCGGAATCGGCCGCCGATAAGGCCTTCAATTCACAGTTTAAAACATAAAACACAAACAGATTATTTTATGGTAAACAGATAAAAACTCTAAGATACTGCAATACATATGCAATTTAATTCTGGGTTCCTTCTAAATTACTGTTAGGCATAATTAATCATGGCTTAGCATTAATCGAAGGTCGGGGTTATTACAGCATGGCTAAAGTGACGACTCCCTAGAGAAGGTTAGGTTGCAGACACCTCGGCCCCAAGCGGCTCGGTCTACTCTTTATCCACCAGACGTTATTCAGCTGATGAAGTGTAAGGCCTCTTGCTAGGTCGAGATGAGGTAGCTCGGGTAGAAGTGAGGGCAACAATGGTCTTGAGAGTTTGACCGAATAGAGGTTGCTCGACCTGGACCTTGGCGTTGGAGGCAGAAGCCTGCTCGGTGATTAGAGCTCGGATGGCTCTCCTCTTCTCCATCTCTTGTTCTTTAGTGAAGGGGATTAAATTGATTTGATGAATGGTAAGGTCTGGCTCGGGCGAGAACTCCAAGAGAAAGTCGATTACTTTAGTTTTTTTCCTACTACTATAGCGATAGGACGACTCAACACGAAGCAGTTTGGTCTAATCTCAATGCTTGTAGCGTAGAGTGGCTTGGTCGACTTGCGCGTAAATTGCCTTCAATCAATTTAGATCTACAAAGAAAACAAGTATTAGCATGGCTAAAGAAATTAAAATCTGAAGAGAAAGAGTCGAGCTATTCTTACCAGCCATTCCTTTATTCCAATTGATGTTGTAGCCCGGTATCTGGGAGCTATTCTTACCAGCCATTCCTTTATTCCAATTGATGTTGTAGCCCGGTATCTGGGCCTTTTGGTCCTCAAAGTTGCCAGAGACCCAGAGAAAGTCATCATCGTTCAAGTCTTTGTCAAGAGTACGCTTGATGATTTTCTCTCAACCTTTTCTAATTCTGAGGTAAAAGATCCAACCATCATGATTTTGGTCGAGCAAATATTTATGAAATATCTCGGCCAATCCGAGGTTGAGGCCGAGATGGCGATTTAGCTCGGCGATGCCGTTTATTATCTTGTAAGTGTTGGTGGATAATTGGGTGGGGCGTAGTCTGGTCTTCCTAAGGAACTTGTAGATGAGGGGTTGGACTAGGAACTGAAGTCCGCCCTTTACAATGGACAGCACTAAGAAGGGAACGAATCCAGGCTTGCCCCATAGCGTGGTGTCTAGCTTGGTTAGGAAGAGGTAGACATCGTCTGGAATGTTACAGTCCCTTCAGAACTCGGCCATGGAACCTGGCGAGTTGACCATGAATCGATATTTGCCCATGGCCTTAAGTTAAATAAGTTAATAAAAGAAAATTTTTCTTGGCTCCTTAGCCCAGCATTAGTGTGATCAAGAGAGTGCAAGGTGGAGTGGCGCCACAGAGGGGCAAGTGCAAGGTGTGCCTCGCCAACCTGATTAAGCCTACAAAGTGGAAATAAAAAAAGTGTTATGCCCATGCGTTGAATGGGCTAGTTAAAAGTCTAGACTAAATAAACTTAGCTCGACAGTGAGAGCTTGCGCACTATGTTTAGTTCGGTCAAGGAAATGGGCAAGGTTTTTAGCCTGGTTCCAAATAGGGGCAAGGAACTAGTTCTGACTAGGGGCAAGGTGTTAGCCCAGTCAGGTTTAGATTACGGCTCCTAGCTCGATTGTAATCACTTAAACATGCAAACAAAGTCTCAGTTCAGTTCCAGTGTAATTTTTGATCAAAATCATCAACCTCAACTGGTTCTGATCCCAGTTTCATGAGGTTCATCACAGAGTATGGGAATCTAAAGGTTTTCAGAGGCCAGATTAGTTTTAGGTCAATTTTTGTGTGGATTGTGGTGCGTAACCACTATTTATAGCCAAGGGTAGCGGTTTTACAGCAAGAAAAAGTCAAGGAAATGGAGAACAACACGAATTATAGTGGAATAGCAAAGAGAGTGAAGGCGACTTATGGATTCGAGGCTAGAATCGAGTCCCAAACACCCAAAAACGATTCTCTCAGCCATTGCGAGCTCAATGATGTAGAAGTTTGAGGCAATAAGGGCAGAATCGAGATGAGAAGAGGAGGCACAGGTTCTGGGGTCTAGTTGGAGAAGATGAACAGTAGGTGGTGAGAGGGCCTGCATTGACGATATATGTTGGGGACCAAAAGGCGCCATCATTCAAAAAAAAAAAATGGAAATTGTGCGTAACGACCGTCCTAGTTACATGGGGCCATTAGAGAAGTGACATGTGTCAAGAATGCGGCAAGGTGTCAGTGCTATCAATCATATAAAGCGGTAGAAGACTTCTAAGAATCAAACAATCTAAGGGATCGAGCAAATGTTTTAGCTCGGTTAAAATGTACATTCTTAGCTCAACTAAAAGATGATAATCTCAATCATGCTATGCAAATGGAATTAAGGGCACTTGAGAGGGTAATTAGTGTGCAAATTAGGCCGAACTAGGAAAAGTCGTCTTTTGATGTTAGGCAGCGCATTGGGCTGAATCAGGTTCCCAGTTAGATCGGTCCTAGGCTAGCAGTTGTTAGAACGGTCAGTGAGTTTGGGCCCCTTTATCCGTGTGCGTGCCGAGGTAACGATTTCAGTAAGTGGTGAAGGCCGAGCTACATTTAGCTCGGTAAAATCTCATTCAGCCCGGTCACATGTGGAACGAAGTGGCGTAACCGAGCGGAGTGTTCCATCTCACTTGGAAAGCAGTGAGAAAGGTGTTTTAAGGATAAGCATTATCCATAAGGGTGTGATTCCTAGAAGGATTCTACTAAGGAGAGCCAGAGTCCTACTAGGGTTGTGCCACGTGAAATCTATAAAAACTCATGATTACATCTAGCTTCAGGTATTGTGATTACTATTCACAAATACGAAGAACTTATTGTCTATTGTCTACTTGCTGACTTAAGCATTGGAGGGGTTTCTAGCACACACCCGCTAGCTAGTTCACATGTGTTTTCAAGTAGCGAAGCGGCAACGTTTAAAGCGGTGCAAACTTAGTCAACAGAATTATACGAGAAAATTATTTACTGCTCGTACATGCTCTACTAAATTTTATTATCGACAACTAAGTCCTATTTATTTTTTATAATTGTTTCAAAAGAGTTTAATTCTTCATAATAGTATATTTTATTCCAGTTTTACCCATTTCGTCAAAAAAATTATAAAAAAAATTTGTTTAATTTTTATAAGAATAATATTTTTAATTGTTGAAATTAAATAATTTTTCATAGACAAAAGTATAATTATAGGATTCACCAATTATCTCACGTATTAGAAAAATATATGAATTTACTACTACAATATTATTTTTCATAGCTCTATTGATAGAATTTTAATAAATTTTTGCCTTCTGGATTGTTTCTCATACAAAAATTCATAATTTCAAACAATATAAAATGATGAATTTTATGCCATAATTCTTTAGATTCAATTTTTATTTATTTATGATTTGTTTAATATAAAATTTATAATTGTTAAATTAAAAAATATAATTTTATGTAAAGTAATATTATTTACAAAATTATTATTCATATTTTAAGTAGGGTAAAATTGGAATACATTGCATCATTAAAGTGTATTGAACTCTTTGACAACATTTTTTTAAAATTAGGACTTAGTTGTCCAAAATGAAACTTCATAAAACTCAATGGTAATTTTAAGAGCAAAATAAAACTTATTGATCATTTTTCCTAAATCATACCACCCTCAATTTAAGAATCAAAATCAATTT